CCTATTTATATTCAAATTTACAATACTTTAGTGGCTAGACCTTTCTCTTAGAAAATTCCTCTAGTAACCCATTTTAGGGAACATATTTACTTTATGTGGCTTGTTGCTGCCGCCACTTGGCAATTGGATGTGATGCCTGCAATTGTTGCCAAGAAATGTTAAAAATCCCACAGAAAACGGAAAAAATAACCGAGAGAGAGGAACAAAAGTTGCACCAACTTTGGAAAGGAAAGTTTTTAATCTGCCGCATGCAAAACTTTAATCGAAAAGCTGCCAACGCTAAGGAAACTAAGTCAAACTTTTCAAATTGAAATATCAACAAGGCGAAAAAAAAAGTTGAGCAGACAGATAAGAAAAATTCGATTCGTATGTTTTGTCGTCACATGCCAATTGCGTGTTTGAAGTGCATGCAGAAATTTAAGCCGAAAACTTTGATCTGTGCCTTGTGCGACACAGACAAATGTGAAAGTTTCCCCAATGCACTCGAAAGTAGTGGGAAAACAGTTGGAAAAAGTATGCAAAGGGCATGCAAACACTGCCATGTGATGGTATTTTTGCTCTATTTGCAGAGAGGTACATTTTCTAGAACTTGAACTTGTTAACTCTGCTGTGGCAAAGTAATGAAAACAATAAATATTTCTAATGGAACGCAAATATTTGATATGTCAACCAAAATAAATATAGTGTTTGAATTGAGAAATAAAATATTGCGCGGGTTGCGTACACAAATATTCTGTATGTTGCACATATTGTTGACATTTACACGGTACTTGTTTGCATAAGAATTTATTCAGCCAACCTGTGACCACCTTTTCCTAATGAAATTATAATTAAACCCTATAAACTAGCCTGCTACAATTCCCTCGAGCCCAGATAAGCTAATCTACGACCTGAGATAGATGACTTTAATTTAATCAACACGAAACTTTAAGCAACAGGCCTTCTGCAATAAAAGTCAAATATTTCTGCAGCCATTTTTAATTAACCAAATATGTTTGTATGGGTGCGCACGCACACAATTACACTCGAATTCAAAATGGAGGCAAAGGAGAGCCAAGAGCGAGTGGCAAGTGTAAATATGGCAGGCAAAATTAATTTGCCCAATGCAAATATGCAGGATGTGAAAATGTTGCCCCGCTTCGTGTCCCTTTTCCCACTTTTTGTGTGTGTGTGTGTACGGTGCCATATATATTTTTCGAGTCGAGAGTAAAATCCCCGAAAACCATGAAACGCAAATAACTACAAAAATATTCGCTGACGAGTCGGGAGTAGGAAATTTAAGCTCAGAATGCAAGTCATATGCTAACCGAAACTCCGTTTTCAGTTTGCTGTTTCCAAGAAATTGCACCTGCCTCTGGTCCCCCCTAGAACCAGCCCCCTCCTCTCAGGTACAGCTTCCATATGCCCTGCTAATATGCCCGGGCTGGCTTAGTTCAAGTCAGCTTGTTGCCAGCTATGTGGCTATGACTCTGCCAACTACTGCTGACTACAGTCAGTTACCCAGCGGGCGACATTGCCAACAAGAAGCTCATTTTCGGAGAGCTTCTGTGTAACCCAGCGAACGGTTTTTCAGTTTTGATGGTTAAATTAAGCTTAGAGAAGAAATATTTGAATATTGAAGTAGGATTTGTATATTTAACTTTTATTTTTGGTATAACATACACTTTACTTCTCTTTTAAATTATAAATTTGTTTTTTTAAGATATCGAATTCCTGCCGCCAACTTTGTTCATTGGGTTCCAAGTTGCCAGTTGCCAGTTGCATGTGCATGGAGTATGGAGCAGGACAAGACCGTGCTCATTATGCATAAATTGTCGCTGGGAAACTACGCAGCAGCACTGAATTATGGCAAAGTTAATGGCATTATAATGCCAAAACGCTGACATCTGCCCCAGTCAGGAGTGTAGAGTGTGTAGATATTCGCAGAAGACGACGAGTCGTTTGCTTGGGCCAAATTCAAGTTGGTCAAGGGCAAGTAGAATGCCACTTTTAAAGCCCAGAGATGTCGGACTAGAGTTTATTCTTCCTGTTGCTGTTGTCAATGACTCGTTGCCCAAAGGCGGAAGTATAGGGTGTGGGCAGGACAAGTGACCCTCGTTTGTTGTCCTCCGTCGCGAACAAGGGTCACCCGATGTCAGCACAACTCACACACGGTCTCTGGCAGAGACTAACACACATCAGCCCCAGACCCTGAGTCTTTTTCCATAATCTTTCTTTTTTATCGCGAGTCTGGAGTCGCCAGGAACGGGATTTAAGTCACACTATAAAAATTTGACTCTACTCTTAGGTTTCAATATGGTTTTTTATCAATAGAGAAATGTTGCGAAAACAATAACTTATTTCTTTTCATTTAAAATAATTATTCTCTCTTTAAATCCTCGAAATCTTTGTCTTTTTTTCAACTCGATTTTAGCCAAACTTCTTAGTATCTTTTAGGATGGTTTTTAAAGCCAAAATATTGACAGACTTAGTATTCAAAACATTCTAATAAGATTAACATAATTAACCTATTTTAAAATATAAGAAGCTCGACTAGTGTTCTTGGAGTGCACAACCACAACAACATACATGGGTTGTACACCATCGCCAAAGACCTGGTTCCTTGCTGTGTTTTCTGTGTGTACGCCAGTGAGGGGTATACTTCCTGCACATGCCGCATGCCGCCACCGCAAACTTGCGGCACTGAGCCCTGTTCTCACTTCCGGTTTCCGGTTCGCCTTTCGCCATCGCCATCGCCTCGGCTAGTTGGGTTACCGTTGCCGTTAACTTGTTTTGATTTTTTAATGGCTCGCCTGACGACGACAACCAGAGCATTTACGTTTTCATAATTCTCGTCTTTAAGGTCTTTAAGTGGCTCCACGAATTCTGAAATTCTCTCTCACGGCATGTTTGCATTGTACATTTGTTTTCGAATTCAGCGTTGGAATTCTTTTCGCGACTTTTGTCAAATAAAAGAACAACAATGCAGAATCGTGAAAGATATTCGACATTTGACGTGGTCTATCCTCGAGTCTGGGCTTTTGTCATGCAAATTGTTGAACAAGTAAGGCGTAACGTCGACGCTGACGTTGATTGCTCATGAAGTGAAATTAAAAGCAACAAAAAGTTACGGTTTTTTGTCACCAAATTTGGGATGCCCTTTTAAAATATTTGATGGAGTATTAAGAGAAATAAAGCAAAGAGTTTAATGTTAAAAAAAAAGGTTTTGTTCTATCTTTACTTAGTAATATGAAGAAAGCTCGAAGAGTCTTCTAAAAATTTCTCTAAACTAAAATTTTCTCTGGAAATTAATAATCATGTAATTTCTTAGCTTTTAAATTTATTTATTTTATAATTAAAAGAACAAAGATTATCTACGTAAAATTTAAAGACTTCTTTCCAGACTATATAGGGAATATTCTCGGAACCATAGAGGGAACTCAACATGGCGTTGCTTACCTTCCAGCCCATTTCGCCATTACCTCCATTAACCATTTCCATGTTGTTCGCATGCAACTTGACTTAAAAACAAAAGAGCTGCCAACAGGCAACAGCAGCAACAAAAGCCGCCGAGGAGCGGGGAAATGGGAAAAGAAATACAGTTGACGTTAAAGGGGAAGCACACACACAGCACACAAGTCAAGTCGGAAAACTTTTGTTCCTGGCATTGTTCCCGCTGTTGCCGATGTTGGTGTAATTGCTGCGTCGGCATCACGAGAAGGAGGTGCCCAAGTCGGAGGAGTCCTGTGCAGAGTCGTCGATTTTAATTACGTATGCAATTTATTTATTACCTCTGCCCGGAAATATTGTGCGATTGTGTTGCCTCTCCCTGAGCTTTTGCTCTGCGGATGTGGCACAAAGCCCGAAAAGGAAACGGGGCGTTCTGGGCCAGAAAAGATTTAACATGCGGTTATGAAGTTATTTTTCATTTCCACAATTGAGTCCTGTCAGAAAATGCACTGCAGGCAAAGTGCTTGAAGTGGGATCAACTCGTTCTTGGGTATTTTATAAAGGTGGTAGTCGGTCCGAGGAATTCAAGAGATACTTCAAAGAAAGCAAGGTATTTTTGAGAACTTTTAAAGTAGGATAGTCTTTAAAGAATATGGATGGATTTGATGTTCTTCTTATTTTATTCATAACAAGTTTAATTACTCAAATTATAATTATTATAAATGAAAACGGAACATTCTCCTGAGAAAATAAAATATTAAAATATTTAACCTAAACCCTTTAAGTGATTTTTTCAGCCATTCAATCATTTCTAATTACCAAATCCTTCCACTATCCAGTCTCAGGATGCATAGGAAATGATTTAGCCAAGTGGGAAGTATGGCAAATTTGAGGAAGTAGGAGCAAACCCGTTTTAAACCCCGTAGTAGACATGCCATAAATTAGATTACCAAGCCCAGACCAGGGCCCGAAGAAATAAGCACGACCATAAACATGGCGTGTGTCCACTAAATTAGCGTATTCATTAGGAAAAACAAGTAAAATTTGTTCACGATGTTGTCGTTGTTAAGGCAGGAGCACACTCACATGTCCACCTGCACATCAAGGCCCCTCCAAATTGGTTGCATTACTTGATTAGTGTCCGCGCAATGCTGTTATTAAAATTCAATCTAAAATTTTCCCCCCAGCCGTTGAAGTCTCGTGCACTGATTGCATGTCTAATCGAATTTAACAACCTTTTGCAGTGAGCATAAAGGATAAAGGAGCAGTCAGGAAATTAACGGATTTCATATTAAGTGCAAATTCCGGCCTCCCATTTGTGTCATGCGATTGTGATTTGAAGGCGTCCTAGGTCCGGAGACGTAGGGAGTTTCCCACCCTCAAATGTTGATCACGTGACTTTCAACAGAGTCGTTCAAAAATCAAGTAACCCTTAACTATACGGTGGAAATACTAAAAATAAAAAGAGATTGGAATCTTATTTTTTAACCATTCTGCAAAATTTTCTGAGCCACAAAACATTTGTATTGATTGTGAACTCTAACGATATGATTTCTATTTTTTATAGAAAACACAAAGTCATTTTTGATTTATACTTCAAAAAGGAAATATTTTCCATCTTCTTTTAAAAAATTAAATGGTAGTGGGGCAAAACAAAGCAGAGCAGAACTGAGCAAACCCCAAAGTAAGACGTCTCAGGGAAGAAGGTAAATATAAAATCGCGACCCAAAGAACATATAGGGTATATCTAAGCCTAAAGTCCAGATTCAGGATGTCGGATAGCAAGGCAGTGATTAAGAATGCAGACATGTGCGAGGAGATGCAGCAAGATGCTATCGAATCTGCCACCCAGGCAATGGAGAAGCATAACATTGAGAAGGACGTTGCTGCGTACATCAAGAAGGAGTTCGACAGGAAGTACCATCCCACCTGGCACTGCATTGTGGGCCACCACTTTGGTTCGTATGTGACCCACGAGACGCGCCACTTTGTATACTTCTACTTGGGGCAATTGGCTGTTTTGCTTTTCAAAAGCGGCTAAGCAATGTTAGAACCACAATGCAGTACTCAATCCCTGACGATCGTCAAAAACAGAATGAGAAGTATCACCATCATGGGAAGCTTTTGCATTACAGTTCTATTTGCGACCCCTTTCACTGCAGTCTTATCCATTCTGGACCAAGCTAATCTCTACAAAATTCAAAGCGCCTCCAAATCTTAGACTTTGACTTATTTTTAGGCCAAAAAAAACAAATATCTTGAACTAATCTTTAACTTGTTGAATAAATAAAACTAGTTTTTAATCCTTAAACTATTTGTTCATCTAATGGGAAATAGAAAACTTATCTTCAACTTCGTTTCAATGTAGTTAATGTTCATTCAAAGAACATCTAGCACAATCACTTCAAGTTCGCTTACTTTTATCCCAACATTCAGTGACAATTTTCTCTGCTGACTCAGCCGAACCCGAACACAACAGATAATGCTTTTTGGGTTAATTCCAGCATTCATAATGTCCTTTCGAGTTCATCACAAGGCAAACAATGGAAGCACGCATATCCAGAAGCGAAAAGGGGGAGTTGGCAGCCTCACCTGTCTGTGGGCAAATAAAAATTGCTTAATTAAGTTAATTAAAATATTGTCGCTGTCCGTTGAGCTTCCATGTGCTGGCGGCAAAGGAGTTGTTGCCCTGGCATTTATGCGTTTTTATTATCACAGAGATTGGCCAATTTCGAGCCGGACGGCGTTGGGGTAATTATGCCAGCACACGTCCAGGGTCGCAATAATAATCATAAAAATAATATTAATAAAGTTCGCAACGGGTGAAAATATAATTTTGCGAAATACTTTAACACTTGGCTCTCAGACATATGAAAACTTGCAGTGGGCAGTGGGCGTTGGGGTGTTACATATAGTTGGTTTGAGCCGCTTTCACAGTTCGACGACTCTTGGCCTTGTCCCCCGATTTCCCGCCAGCTGTCGCACATTCTGTTTTCCGAACTTCTGCATCCGCATATCGCGGCGTATCGGTCAGTCAGACAGATTCTCATGCATATTTCATGGCCCGCTTAAATACAGCCAGGGATACAACCAACAGGGTGCAGGTTAATGCAGCACTTGAAGGCCAAAACGGCCAAGGACCATAAAAAATTTAAGTGCCACGCAATCAGTTTTACGCTCTCTCAGACAAAAACCTTTATTAATATTTTTTATTTTTATGCGTATTTATATATATAATTTTTTATGCTTCTCGACATTAAAAACAAGACCCTTGCCAAAGCTGGCACTTGCCTCGAGTGCTGCCCACCTTTGAGCCGCCTACACATCCTTCTCCCCCTGGTTTCACATTAGAAGTGAAGTACGAACTCCGCTCTGAGCTGAATGAGTAATGGCTTCGGGACTCCGAGATGAGTTGAGTCTGCGCACTGAGGAAAATGAGAGTGAAAATGGGGATTTTCAGCCAGCGAGAAAGTAGATGGCGCCAGCGGGAAGTTGAAGTTCTCGTCGATTGTGGAATTTGTTTTAAAAGAACATTTTTTAAAAAGCCAGTAATGAGAGGTGCTAGAGTTTTGAAATCCAAGATAACATGTGTTTATTATATACTATATATAAATATATAATTTAACATTATAAAAGTAACTAAAGAAGTTAACAATAAATTTCTTAAGCGTATCAACAATTCTAGGGGGTTTTCTGGAAATAATGATAAATGTTTACTTTGAATTGGATACCTTACACATTTTATGACATATTTTAGACATATTTTGAAAGCCTTTCAAATGAAAAGCAGAGTTTTTAACAGCTTGGACTGGCAGATATAATTTTATAAAATATAAGTTTTAAATAGCCTTGGTACCTCCCATATTTAAATCAAATAGAAAATATAGAAATTTGTTTTAAAACATAAAATTAATTTAATAATTACATTTATATTATATTTACTTAATTAATTAAAATCCTTTTCAACTAAAAACCCTTTCAAGAGTATATAACCAAAGTTAATCTAATTTAATCTAATCTTAATTTAATCTAGCACAGCTTCCTTTTCATTACATTTATATTTCTTATATTTAATTACATTATTCAACTATGATAGTACATTACCAAAGTTATTGTTTATACATAATTCCAATTTAATCTAGCACAGCTCTCTTTCTCTCCAAACAACCAACATCAAGTGACTACAAATGAGCAAAACTCTTGACCTTTTTCTGCGAGCGGGTAGAAAAAATAATCAAAACTTTTATAAATTACTGTCAGTAGCAGTGACCTCAATATGAAATTGCACAACATAACTTCAACGCACACACACACAGCACCACCACCACAGCTACAGATGTGGAACAATTGCTGTGCAATAGATACGAGTGTAATTGCATTTTACTTGGACGCAGAGCTACAAAAACCAAACCCCACGAAACTCAACCCAAACCAACCACAGAAACATACGCACATGGTCATGTAAACTTTTTGTGACCTCAGCTATAATTATTGCCATTTTTTTTTGCTGTTAAGGCACACGGACCACATGTATCCATATGCATATATGAGCCAGCAAAACGGGTCAGTCCAAAGTCAACATTAGTTTTATCACAGTCCGGAGTCGAGAGGAGCAAATTCTCGACAATGACAAAAAATCTTAATGAAACACAAACAAGACAGGAAGCGGAGGGCGTTGGTGGCGTAGGGAAAGGCCAACACACAACAGGCAAACAATAAAAACTGCTCGGTAAAAAAAAGACAGAAAAATCCTCATTAAGCAAAAAATAAATGTCACGAATTTGTACCGAAAATTAAAATGAAAGAAATAATGTTATACCCTCTCAACAGAAATGGGGTTTTACGCTGTAAAATAAATAGTGTAAGAAAATATTTTTAATATAAATAAATACATTTTAAAGTAAAATAATTTATTCAGACTTCAGTCGAAACTATATTTAATCTTATATTAATTTTAGATAATTTTAAAAATAATCCAAAGTCACTAACAACGGCTTTGTTTTTAGATTTTTAATTCATGAATTCCTAATTCCCTATCCTAAGCCCCAATACCTTCATTTTGACAAGGGTATTTTACCGACACACAATCTAATTTGACCTTTTTACTGGCCTTGCGGTATTGTTGATTGGTACAAACAAAATCTTTTTGGAGCCTTTTCGAAGCCTTTCACGCATGAATATTGTGTAGGCGTGGTCAGTATAATTCCACGTAACCATTGTACCGGATAATCTACCCACATAAAGAAAAAGAATCGCAAGACTAAAAGAGGAGAACCTCGGACATCCCCACTGATGAAAGTAGAACCGTTTTTTTTTTCGTGGAGTGTGACGAATGTGGCTGCAAGGAGTCGGAAGGACACATGAAGAATGCACCCACTTGGGAGCCGATTTTTCATTTGGCTTACGAATCATCAACCAGAGCTCTTTCAGTTTCCTTTCTCGTCTTCTTTTCTCACTATCTACAGCTTCAACGCTGGGCTTTCATCACTTTTTACCACTTTTGGTACTTTACCACTTCTAAGTCCTTGTCCTGGCTTGGTCTCGGATTTGTGCGTCTATCAGTAACTAGCGTTGCTTCCCTTTATCCCTTTGAAACTGTTACTGTTAAAGATGTGTCTTAATTTCTTCTATTTAACTTATGATGTTCAATACTGTAATAGTTTTCCTATTTAAGATGTAAACTATACTTTCTATACGTCTTCTCTCTAGGTAGTCTCTCTAGGTAGTCTTTCCAGGTAGACTTCTCTAGTTAGTGATCGCTCCTCTTCGATCATGCACAGTTCCTTATCGACATTTACATTCGATAGTTTCTTATATATTATTTATACTATTTACAAAAATATAGTTACATTAATCTAGAATTTATATAAAAAGTATCTCAAAGCCGGAAACTGCTTTCTGGTTTCTTTTATTGTTGCCTTCATTGTTTCCTCTTCAGATCTCTGTGCTTTTGCTGGTTTTATTTTGGCTATTGTTGCCTTTGATAAATTGTGCGCTTTTCGTTTTGACACATGTCGGCGTTTGTCTGCCCAATGCGGCTGAGTCTGGGAAGGAAAGGGGGGTCCTTGTCTAGGCTGGTCTGAATAGCCTCAGAGGTTATCGCACTTTTTTAATATCCGCATGCTTTTTCTTACATTAAATTCGGTCCGAACCTTTAACCTTTGCCTGATCTTTGGCTTGCGAAATGTTTTTCCTGCCGCCCGTTGCAACTAAACTTGTTGACATTTTCAGGCCTGTCACATGACTCTGAAGGCCTGCGACTGAGAACCCGAACCTGTGTCCTCCTGTCAGTCTCCGGGTCCCGAGTCCTGTGTGCTCCTAGTGCCGTGTCCTGCGTCCATGTTCGTGTCCGTGTCAGGCGTCACTTTATGTCCCTGACAGCGGCAACAATTTTATTTACTTAATTTGGCTTTAGTTTGTCATTTATTTACTTGTTTGCCACAACAGCAGTTGGTCAAAGTGTCCACCTCACGTGTCCCGCCTCCGATTCCAGGGCCACATCTCCAGGGCTCGGATGGATCTGGGCAGAGTTTTTCGTGTGCGTCTGTTGTTGTCACTTTGACGCTGACGTTGATGTTTTCCTACTTTGGGTTTCAGCTAACCTTGGAGTATGGAGAAATTACTATAAGCTTGGCAGCAGTTGTTATATATTTCCTAAAAAACAGATCCTGCAATGCAGATTATTTGTATCTATCCATAATATGCAAATCTCATTTATTATCTAAAATTAAATAGAATTACTCGTATACAATTTATTATGAATTCCGTAAGTGCTTTTGATACACTTACTTTATATTCTATAGAAGTTTTTTTACAAGTCAATTTTCTGTTATATTTATTAATTTTTTTTAACTCGAATATATGTTTGTATAACCTTTCTTAAAGGTACAATGTTTACATAAACTTAGTAATACTGAAATTAACAATAACTGCATGCTTTTCGCAAGAGTATCTTTTGTTCGTATAATATCATCACCTTACCATTTGGTTTTATTTGTAACACGGTGACACATTTTCCTGCCCGCACTTTATTGCATATCGTTGTCGGAACGTGGCATTGAATTTTTTATGAAAATTTAGAGCAAAGTTGCTGTTTTTCTTTGTTTTGGCTGCCGCTGATGCTGCTGCTGTTGCACTTTGGTACCTTAATTAAATATTTATTTCAATCATTTTCGGCAAATGGATGGACACCGTGCCAGAGAGGCACGAAAATCCATTCAACGCCGAAGTGAGATCTCACACAGGGACGACGGGGCAGGCGCGCCAGAAAGGGGGGCACTAACATTTGTCATTACACATTAATAGCGCACCATTAATCTTTTTCGTGAGCCGGGAGCGTGAGGGTCAGAATGAATGCCAGGCTGGGTCCTGGACCTGAATCTGAACCTGGATCTGGACCCGAGTCGTCGTCTGTCGCACAAAACCGTTAATTAATGTATGCCATTTAGCTGGAAAATTGCAAAAGGGACTCACACACGTACACAAATCGGTATAAGAGGTAGAGATGGCAGCGTGAATTAGGGAAAAGTCGGGAAAATATCGTATAAACTTGATCAACGTCAAGGAACCTCGAAGGAAACCTTATCAAACAAATTTCAATATATTTATAAACTATTTTACATATATAGATTCACCTCTATTATCACCTAAAGCTCCTACAAATAGTTACTTCTTGTACATTTTTTATAATTAACATCTACGTAGAGGATATACATATATATTGTGAATGCAGGGAATTCTCTTAACTTTAAATCCACTTAGAAATAGGAATTGTTTTTGTATAAAGAAAACCTTTTTGGAAATTTTATTTTATTATTATTAGTATTCTTAATAATTAGCAACTTTCTCCAAAAGCACGATCTCACCACTCTCGCATATGTGTTTTGCCAGCCCATCATAATGAGCGGCAATTTAGTGCCCTTTTGAATGGTGCCGGTCGGTGGGTGGCTGAGCCACTGGACGGGTGGTTGGTGGGGCGGTTACGTGGCTAGATGGGTCGCCGTTGTCGCCACCGCAAACAAGCAAAGGCAGCGGCCACAGCAGCAGGGGGAAGGGATTGGGACTTGTCTGGGACTGGGGGTGGGGCTGGGTCTCGGGATTGGGCTTGCCCAGCAGGTATGCTTGATTAATGCTTTATAACAAGGCTCGCACAAAGCGCGCTCTGAATGCACACCCACGCCCACACAAACCACCAACTGGCGGTCCACACACACACACACACACACCCTCATTCATGTGTCGCCTTCGTCCTTGCATTTTAACATTAATTTAGTGGAATGCCGCCGAGGACTATGGAAAGCCTTTCAGCATACGTTGACACACGTTAATCCATGTTTTTGTAATTGCTTTGCTTGTTTCCAGGAGAAGTTCTGGAAAACACTAGTACTTAGAAATAATGGAACTGCTTCGATAGAGCCTAGAGCCAGCCATCAAATATAAGAAAACTAGATTTCAAATTCAACAAAACTTTTCCTATGTAAGATGCCTTTGGGGCCATTAGTGGGCCTAATTAAATTAGGAAATTAATCGCGGCCAGATCTCGTTTGGGCATTGTGCTTCTGACATGGCCAACTATTATTACTTCTAGTCCGTTTCGCTGCACTTTCCCTTTTTCATAATTAATTAATTCTTTTTTGATATTTTTTCTTTACTTTTCCATTTCTGCAGAGCTTTTTGCGCGTGAGTGCTTCCTGTGGCGTTCGTTCATTAGGCAAAGGCGGAAGAAAAGCCAGTGGAAAAGTTGAGAAAAAAAATTAAATAAAATAAAATGATGCTAAAAAATGTGTCTAAAGAGTTAAAAGGTTTATTCACTTTGCGCCATCCGACGGGTTTCAGGCAGGGGTGTGTGGGTGGGAGTGTTAAACCGAGTTTCGGGGTTGGAGACACATTTTCCGAGTTGAACATTAAGTAATTATAAGTTGCCCAGGAGTTGGCTGAAAGTTGCAAGTTGGCATCTGCAGCTAGGCAAACATATTGCATGTCTACGCCCTTGTAGACACACATTCACACTGTTAGAGCCGGCGCACACTGCGTATGCGTAATGTGTTGAATAATTAAATTGTCAAACAATTGGCTTTTGGCAGAGAGACAGTGCAGAGATGACGCCAAGAAAATGTTGAAAGTAACTGGGATTTATTGTCTAGCAGTTGCCTCATCCTGCGTACGGAAAACGCTTAATCATCTTTAATTGAAAGCACTTGATGAGCTAGCCAAATGCCAATGAACAATGGCGGAGTCGAGCGCACAATCGGCATTATTTATAATGCTTTTTAATCTCCATCTGAATTTGCATTTGGTTTTTGCTGTGCTAGAAGAGGAGGAATGTGTGCTGTCAAATTCATTTGCTGGCTGATAGGATTCAATTTCCTTGTCATCATCAAAACGTTTTCAATTAAAATGTATTTATTATTCAGCAGATAAAGCAACAACAAAATCAAATAATGCTAAGTCGGCTTATCACTGCCTAAAGTTCTCGGGATCAATGTCGGTTCGAGCGAATGTGTCAAGAACTAAGATCAAATTAAAACGAAACTCAAATAAATGTAATTAAATAAATAAAATAATGAAGTCTGTGAATATATGTATATGTGACTTTATAGTAGTTCATATTGTTTTGTTTGCCTGCGAATTGCTCTGTTTCCATTTTGCCATGAATGAAATTCAGTTGTAAAAGCTTTTAGGCTGATTGCCAGGATTTGCCATTGAGTAGTTGAAATATTTAACCGCAAATCTGTTGAGTTGTTAAATACGAATGAAAATCGATAGAAAGACCCTCATCATACAAAAATGGATGGACATGAGAACAAGAAATAGTATTGCTGTGAAGTTTTGTAAAGTAAAATTGGATTTATTTTCGTTGTAATTTAAATTTTGGTAAAATTCCAATGATATTGACAACACGAATGCCCTTGTTACCTGGACAATGTCACCTAGGCCGCTTCCTCGCCCTCCTCCGCCTCCTCTTCCTCATCGGCCGCCGCCTTCTCTTCCGCTTCTCTTTGCAGTGCCGAGCTCCTTCGGCTAGCACCAGACTTCTGGGAGCTTCGGCGACTCGATCGCTGTGACTTACGAGGCTCCGGTGACTCGGTTCTGCTGTACGGCGGCATATCGAACTCCTCCGGATTGAATTCCTCCAGCGTCTCCAGGCGCAGAGTGGCCAATTCCGACCAGCAGCACGGCAGCTCTGGTTCGGCCAGCATCACGACGGGAAGACGGGCATCCCTGGCCGCTTGAACGCCCTTGGCGGTGCCATCGAAAACGAGGGTGCAGTCGGGGCCAGCGTCTCCCAGTCGAGCCATGGCAATCAAGTACACATCCGGTTCCGGCTTGAAGGCCCGCAACTCCGTATCATCCGCACAGAGAACGGTGCAGAAGGTCTCGAAAAACTGCTCCCGACCGCGGATCTTGGAGCAGTACAGTGACTCGGAGCAGGAGGTGACCAGTCCCAGTCCCACGCAGCACTTACTCAGGTGGGTCACCAATCGCTCCACTCCCGGCATCAAAGGTGGATTCGCGATCAGTTCGGAGGTTCGTTCATTTAGCTCAGAGCGAAACTGTTCCCAGCCGATGGGAAGTTTACATTTTCGGCAAATCAACTCGGCCATCTCTCCCGTTTCCATTGGTCCGCTTTGGATCAGCAAATGCTCTGGGACTATTCTATTATAGCTCGAAGCGAGTTCCAGGAGGGCCCTCCTGTATATGTGACGGGTATCTGTTGGAGGAGCGTAGATGGATCAGCACGGAACGCTCGACTCTTTTGCTTCTAAAGGTCAAAACCTCACCGAAGACGGCACTCTCCAGATCAAAGATGCAGAAGCTGATTCCCGGACTGCAGCACATGGGTGGACATCGGGCGCATTCCGGTGGAGTTTTAGGTATGTTACAGGGAGGGCTGCACATTCTCAGGACTTGTCAAAGAACTTTTTAATGAATTTTTACCTGAACTCTCCTAAAATTTTGAGTTTTTGTCATTACAAGCAATGTCAACGTGTCTATTTACAAATTCTTTTAAATTGGATTTTTCACAGCTTAGAAACAGGATACCATGACGCCAGGAGTGCCTAAAGTTATCAAGATCTGATTAAACCACCACACTCCCTAAAAATATGCGCGTAAATACAGCTACACAAGAAAATTATTTTACCAAACTATATTCATTTAATTTGTTGTATTTTCTTCCCTGCATTTTTGTCACAAATCAATTTCTAAGAAGACCCTAATAATGGCGGCAGTCCAAAATACTGGGGTCTGAAGGCCTCCAAAGATCTCAGCCTCAAAGTGGCCGGAGCACTCGTCCGGATGGAGACCAGGGGATCGGGAACGAGAACCACTTGCATACCTGCGGCCAGAGCAGCCTCCATTCCCAACAGTGATGACTCGAAAACGAGGCACTTGGCGGGCTCTGGTCTCTCATCAAATCGTGAGGCCGTTGTGAGGAAGATGTCTGGGGCGGGCTTTCCCCTCTTAACCTCTTCGTCGGACCCACTGAGAACCACGTGGTGGAAGACGTCAAACAGTTTGGGGTGGCGAAGTGTCTTAGCATTAAATGAGTTCCGACAGCTGCTACTCCCGATGGCCATAGGGATATTAAAGTCATGTAGATGCTTCAAGAGGCGCTCTACGCCAGGCAGCACCTTGATGCGCCCGAGGTCGCCGCGACTCAACAGCTTGAGCCGATGCTCAAACTCTGTGCGATTCAGGGGCAGGTTATAGTTGGCCACAATGAGGTCGGCCTGTTGGGACAACGGCTTGCCCATGCAGCGCATCTTCAGATCGAAGCCAAAGGTGTGCCCAAAGGGATCGAGGATCTTCTGGATGGACTCACTTCGCAATCTTTCGCTGTTTATCAACAAGCCATCCAATTCGAAGATGCAGTGGGTTACCGGCTGAAATAAACAGTGCCTCGAATTCGGCTTTATACTCTGGTCTTCGAGAGACATTTCAGAATTATTTATTTTGGAAAACTGTGAAAATTGGGAGAGATAAATTTGGGGTGCTTATGTCAGCCAAACTCGAATTTTGAGCACTTGCCAAAGGCTGGCAGTCCGAAAAGCTGTGGCCTGAACTCTGCCATCGATTCGAGCACTAAAGTGGCGCCTTTTCTTTGTTGCTCGGTCACATCATCCTCGGGTATCATAACCACCTGCATGCCAGCCGCTACGCCGGCCTTCAGTCCATTCGGAGAATCCTCGAAAACCAGGCAAGACTTGGGATCTGCTGGGGGATTGAAACGAGAGGCAGCCAGGAGGAAGATGTCCGGCATCGGCTTCCCTCTGTCCGGCTTTAGGCTAGGATCATTTCCGCACACGACATGATGGAAGGCCAGCATGATATCCTTATGAGCCGATGCCTTCAAATCGAATACTTTTTTGCCAGAACTAGTGGCAATGCAGAAGGGTATTCGGAACTCGTGAAGGTGGAGAATCAGCTCCCTGACCCCCGGTAGCAGGGCGCAGTGGGTCATATGTTTTGCGGCAGCTGCCTCGTAAGCGTTACACAAATCTTCGGTCTTCACTGTAAGGTTGAATTCCTTGATAAGGACAGCACACGCTTGTAAGGCCGGCATGCCCATATGCCGCCTCTGACACTCCCGGGTGTAACTTTTTCCATATGAAGCCAATATTTCTAGCATAGATTGGAAGTATATCTTCTCAGTATCTTAAATCGAAAGAAATGTTATATAGGTAAGTTTAGGTTAAAAAATTTGATCTTAATATGAGGAAAAGTAAAACAGATCTGATATCAAATATGGCTTTAAGCAGTTTCCGATTTTTAACTACCCAGTAAGGTTCCATCGAGGTCGAAGATGACATGGGTGACTGGACAATAGCATTTGGGAGCCATTTTTAATACGGTCTCTTCATGCGAATCAAGATCAGTGCATATTCATAATTTTGCGTAATTAATTTTGAGCTTAAAACGAGAAAAGTCTGAAAAGAAAGTTACAAATGTGTTCCGAAATATATAAATGATTTTCTAATTTTGAAACTGGGGAGAAAAGCCTGACATGATGAACAGAATATGATGCTTTGATCATACAATACTTGATGAAATTTAATATATCGTCCATATTTTGGTTCTTTGATGCCAAGCACCCAAACTTTGAGCAGCTGCATTGCTCGTGTTCAGCTGTCATTTCCGTTTCCGTTTTATATATTTGGCTAAGTCTAATGCATGCGGTGCACGGCTTTCAGCCAAGACCCCGCCGCCTTTCGCCAGTTGTTGCAAAGTTGCGTAATTGATTAAGCAGTTGCCAGGCCAGGCCACCAGAGACGTTTTCAGCAACGCGTCGCCCAAAGTTTTACTTTGGCCAAAACGTGCCCCACGCTTCGGATGGAGGGGGCGTGTGGGTGACGGTAGTTCCAGGATGTGGCGTTGCGGAACAAAAGCTTCCACGGTGGGTTTGGAGCACGGCATGTCAAAGGTGAGTGCATCGCGATGCTTGATCTTGGGTGGAGTTTAACAGCCAAGCGCTCAGGGCTCACAGCAAAAGAGATTTCGGAAGAACTTGGCTATACCTATGCGATATCTGATGGTCTAGTATGGTAAATTCCTAGTATGGTAAATTCCTTTCAAGATTAAACTTAATATACTTTTTCAATGGATAATTGATGCTTGTCCCTTCAGAAAAGTACAACTAAGCCAACCCCATAGTCTATCCAACGAAGTGTGCACTTTTATTACCTTTTATTGGCACCATCTCCCTCTGCAGTCAGAACCATTGACCGTAACGCATTAATGTCGTCCTGTGGTGGCCAAAAACGAACCAGAAGTTGGTTCGATGGCTGCTTCGGTGACTGAATGGCTAACTGGTTCGCTGAGCTTGCATATTTTATGGCCAAGTCCAACTTTAATTGGAACAATACCAATAAATGCCAAATGCAGATGGCCAAAGGGGAGCCAAAAAGTTTGATGTGCATTGACCGGGATATCGGAGGACCCCGCACAAATCGCCGCTGTCCGCAACGGTGGAAATCAGCTCAAGGCAACACATGCACACACACAGACACAGACAAACCGCGACCGCAAGGATAACAACGGCTTTGGCCGCCGCAACGCGTCGTCGTCGCTGCAAGTTTGCGGTTTTTGCGGACTAAAATTCAGGGAGCAGGCTAGCAGACCGGTTAACAATTCAATGAACGCAATTACTGCACCCAGATTTGAGGCAGGTGGACACCCAACGTTGCCACGACAGCGATTAGAGACGCGCTCAAATTAAGCGTTTACAACATGCTGTTGTTGGTCAACGAAGTGGGGATTCCCCTCATTCAACGTGCAGAAAAATTATAAAAGTCGAGTATTTGGAACGACAGATCACTCATTACATTACAAATAGCACCTAAGGAAGGTTCGTGGATATAAAAAAATATTTATCCGACTTTATGGCAAACCAAACACAGTTCGTTTTTGTTAAAAGATTGGAAATTTTATGAAATTTTCGTGAGAAAATTGCAAGGCAAAAGGACCCCTTAACGGGACACTAAGTAGCCTTGCCTTTCTATTACAGGGTAACAAAAAATGAAACAGTAAAAGCATTAGGGGATCCCAAATGGTTGGCTGCATAATTTATGCGCACAATTCGTCGCTGCATGAATGTCCTCTTCTCGAGTCCCGTTCTCAGTTGGCTGCCACAATGCACAGCTGACGCACAGCGTCCGGACAAGTGTCCGTCCGACCAAGCGTCCTGTCCGATTAATTAAAAGGCATTTTATTGACTGGGAGGAGGAGGAAGAGGAGGGCGGTGGGTGGCACATGGAACGGCGTGGGTCACTTTTATTGCCAGTACCTTGGTGCGAGGCTGATTGCTCTAGCTGATTTGGCATTTTCCATTGAGTCAATAGGAAATGAAAATGCGACTGCATGAGTCGGCCATTGTTAAGTTAGAACAAAGTAAAGTCAATTTCGATCGGAACAAGAAGGAATCCGCAAGGTGGCCAGAAGGAGCGGTGGTACGGAAGGTCGTAAAGCATGTCTTGATATAGATGTTGTAATGAAATTACTCCCATTAAATTGTTACAAAATAACGGGCCAAAAGGGCTATCAGTTGCCCCTGGGTTCGTCTCAAAGAAGACCATCAAATTGAATAAATAGTATATTCCGTATAATCTGGCAAAGAGTAACCCAATAGCTGGCGGGCAAGCCGCAAAATCTACCAAGCGAATTCAGCCTTTCGGCACTCAATAAAGGCTATCCATCTATGGACAGAGAGGGCTCAAGTGTCAGTCACATATTCCTACAATCCTCACGGCGCTCTCTTGAGCGATTTCCCCAAGGATCGCAGTGCAACAATGTGTGCCGGAGAGGGGAGGCTTGGGGAGCAAACATGGGCACAAAGTCCAATTTGTTTGTAATGGCATTACTTTGTTTACAAAACAAATTTTGTATGCATAGCGAGTAGTCTTCGGCGGAGCCTCCAACTCCGAGAAAAGAGGTGGGAGTCGCTGGTTGGGGATTCCTACGATTTCTCGACCCTTGCAGCAAGCGTTGCACACCCAACTCGAACTGCCGCGCAGTCTGGGAGAACTGGAAAACAAAAATAGAAGGACGGACAAATAAAATATAGACATAGATATAGATATATATATACTTTTGTATTTGTGTGCAGCTTCTAAAAATCGTTGTACCATAAAATTTCCCCAATGGACCCTCAGAGTTTTCAGTTTCGAAGGACTCTCCGTGCTGCCCTTTCGCTGTTTAATTTTACAATTGTCCCTTTTCTTTATTTCTGCCGAGGGAATGAGGTGGTGGGGCAGGGTTTATCTATGCCCATCCGTTCCAAGTGCGGTTTTGTGATTTATGTCAGTTTCTGTTGGCCAACATTTGTTTTGCTAACAGAGAACAAACACCAAGGCCAAGCAAATGGAGGAGTTTTTGGTAAAAGCAGGCTAATATGGCTTCCTGGCATTTCAGGCTCTATTCCTACAGGTGTCGTATATTTGGAATTTGATATTATTTCTGGCTATTAATGTGAAACCTGGTTTTAAAATAAGTGAAATATAAATTTACCCGAATATTAAACAGCAGCTTACAATTAAATTAAATTATTCATGGTTGTCAAAGCATTACAAATCAATTTTTAATGCTTACAGTCTTACAGATACAGTTCCTCAGGTATCAGGGGGACAGGCAAGCTGCTGTATTTTCTCGAAATTACCTATCTTAATACCTTTGTCTCTGGCTGCTTTCTGTGCATCGTATACAACTTCAGCATTGGGAACACGCTGGCGAAACTGAAGGACTGCCCAATCTGAAAAAACCGTAGGAAGATAATATCTTATTGATTTCACAGGTAAATCAGCACTCACGAAAGCTAATTACTTTGTTGGTTTCGAAACACATAAAGCGGATGGCAAAGTTCTCGTAATCCGTATCCAGTATATAAATCTGAATGCCTTCAGGAAATACTAAAATAAAAACTAAACTAGTGATTTTGCCAATGATTTTATCCCTTTTCTACCTTTAATTTTTGTATCTTGAACATAGCTTCCTGCTGCGACATCCACATGTTTAATTTGAGCTTTTCTGAACACCACTGTATCGGTTCTGTGAGCAAGATAATTGTAGATCGAAATAGTATATATATTTGCATATGCTTACTGGCTGCTTAACTTTCGCTTCTCAACGTATAGTTTTGTGCCGATCTGTTTGAAATCCACCGACTGACATCTGGCAACCTTTTCCGGTATTGGTGGGTATTTTGAGTGTATGTACCACTTTCCCTTAAATTTTTCCATGTCAAAATCTTTTAAGCCCGTTACATTTTGAGGACAACGTGCCCGAAAAAACTTCACCGCTCCTGCCAGTTGAAGCGTGAGCAGTGAAAATCTATTAAAAGATGTTAATTGAATGACTTTAGGTATTGAATGTTTTACTTACACAAAAAACATACACTTCATTATGCTAGATAAACTAAAGGCAAAACTCTGGCTTTGTTCATTTGCAGCTTGAGAGAGTTTAACAAAAACTAATCAACAATATGCGGTGGCGGTTAACAATTAAAAGTGTGAAAAATATAGGGAAACTAAAGTATTTAGCTGCACTCATTACTTATTTTATTTTATTCACAAGCCTTGTGAAGAGAATTTCTGCTACTTAATTATGGATTTATTTCTGTAGCTGTAGAGACTAGAATTATATTTCATTTCAGACTAAGAAGATTAGGGTCGAGGACAATTTTGACTGTGATTCTAAAGGTATATTCTTTTTACATGATCGTCATCTTCGATTTTATTTCTCGCAATAACAAGCTAATTAACAATGGTATAATAACTATAAAAACATTCCAATGATAATCTTTTTATGGATTAGTAGTTAAAAAAGTTCATGAATATGTCGTAGAGACGCTCATAGAAGCGTCGCAGCCATTCTCATGCCTTCTCAATGGCATTTGGCACTGCCGTGGTTACAAAGTCATCCAAATCAAGGTCATCTTCATTAGCAAATTCTGTGCCATTACCACCCAGTTGAGGGCACTTGGTCTGGATCGTATCGATGAGGAATGCCTGGGTTATGTTATTGTCTTCCAAAATGTTTTTGGCATCCTCAATGGTCTTTGCCGAAGGTTGGCGCTCTCTTGTTAATATCCAAACGATTTCTGTAATTTAAATTTAAATTTACTGCTTAGTTCAACTCTTATTCTGTCAACAATAGGTGCCACAGTTCGGGCGTGGACTTTTTTAATGACTTACTGAAATTCGCCAAGGGGGTTACGCTGGTGCAGCTATAGACAACGGCATAAGATTCATAGTCGGTGCCCAAAACCTGGTAGTTGGCCTTGGTTAATTGCTCTGCAAGGTGTGAGATACACAAATAAGAAACATAGTTAAGATATAACACCAAATTTGTAAGCTACTTACGGCTGGGGTAAAAGGCCACGGCCAACTGAGCAGGTGCGATCACCTTTGCCTTTCCAGTTACATTAGTGGGGAGTCCAGTGCTATTTGGATTTTACATTTATAATTATTATTTTAAAGAATATAGAGTAGTATATTACTTACAATCGATTGATGGCCGCATTAACAACTGATATAGTGCTATTATCTATGATACTATAGTTGGCATATATGCATTTTTTGCCGATCTCAAAGGCAAATGGATATTTGGAGTACTCGTACCAGATGCCCATATACTAGAGGGTTAGAGATATGAATTAATTAACAATATTTGTATTGATGTTATATATATTTAGTTTATAATAAACTTAAATTAAATAAGCTGCTTCAAGTGTTTACTTATCATATGCATTCTTTACGTAAATAACATAAGTTTTATAGTAAACATTACGTTACAAGTGCTGAGAGTGTTTACTTATTGGATGAGTTCTTTAACAAACAATGGGTAAATATAAACATGATTAGATTTCTTTTTAATTAAGATAAGGTTTGATTACAAAATATTAATAGGAAAAAGTTATGAATGGATGACAATTAAATGCCTACTGATGTACAAATTAGTTAAGTATATAGTATTTTAATAACTTTTTAACATTTACAACTTTAGATTGTCATTACTCTTAGCTTAACTTATCTGAGATCACAAAATCAATACACTACAATATCGTTTTCTTAAAAAAAAATTATTATTTATAAACATTTTAATACAATTCCCCAAAACCAGCACTTAAGTTTAACAAATCTTATTACATATTGTTACTAACTTAAAGATGACTATTAATCCGTATTATTAAAATAATTCGCTTCTATACCTTCGCCCAATATTCTATTTGTCATGATCATTTAGAGGAACTACTCACCGCCTCCGCATCGAAGCTATCCATTACTTTGACATCCGGACACTTGCCGGGAAATGGCACCTGAGCGTTTCCCAGATAAACTCCATTAGCCGCCAGCAAGACAAGCAGCGCCAGATGCGAACTGTAACGATGATGGAGTAGAATGCAAATAATTGCTCGGAGCTCAAGAACTACTAAGTGGAGCCCACCTCGACCGATGATTCATTGCAGAATAGAACTGATGATAGATACTCTCCCACTGATTCTGTCGTACTTCTGGCCTAGAACTGCTGTTCGAGTGCAGCTGCATCGCAACTTATATATGCGAGTCGAGAGAGCTTTATTGTTATAGCTCGGAGCTTTTCCAGTGCGCCGACTCCGGTCGCCAATGTAAACAAAAGTGAAATGCAGACGATCTGGATGAAAGTTCAATGTGGAGGGGCGACACCCGGGGGGTGGCTTGGGTGGCGAGGGCACTTCTCCCTATATGACCGCCGCTCCTCTCGTCACAATCACTAGACACAAATGAAAAGCAAATGGAATATGTGCAGCGAAATTATAATTACATTATTTACATAATTTTAGCATGCACTTGGCGATAAGTCGACATCGATAAGGGCTTCCGCATGCTAAGCGGAACGATTTGGTTTGTAATCGACTGAGATCGCGGCGGGAATCAGTTCAATGTCCTAAGTATTGCATTATATATCCAGAAATATGTCACGATTGCAGGGTGGAATTTCAAGTTATGGTAACCGGAAGTATCCGAAAATGTAAAACAAATCTATTTATACCTTTGGCTAACTCTTATAAGTATTAATATTAGATGTTCCTGTGATTTGTTTTATTAAAATCATTGAAAAAGTAAGAAAAAATAAAATCAAATAGCAATAAAAATATAAAATAAACAAAACCTAAAACGTTATTTTATATGATGAAACTTACATTTATTCCCTTAACTTCATTTTGATTAGCAATTTCTTACAAATACAAAAATTATGCACATCATGGTGTTGAAAATACATAATAAATTAAGACAATGTACTTGTTAAGGCTTAGGATAAGTTTCGCTTAGCAAATACAACATAGTTATTCGAGAAAGAAAATCTATATAAAACTTATTGCTTAAGGTGGTGTTTATAATTTTAAATGTATATTTTGCTGCACCTATTCGATTTAAGATATATTTATCTGTATTTTGCCCCAAGTTGCAACTCGTTAATAACTAAAAAATAATTATGTTAGCTTAGTAATAATTTTCCAGCAAGGGGAAGAGCTTAGTTCCACACTGTGGATTGTATTTGTGGCGCCACCTATACAGTGTGTGTAACCAACGCCATCTATTGAGCGCTTTGCCGTTCGCCTGCTAACCAGATACAATTTTCGTATCTCAAGGATTTCGGCAGCTCTTAACCTTTATGTCGGGAAATCCCGTTGACAGAGTCCAGATTTCTGTGGGATTTCCTCTTTGCTGCGGAGAAGTAGAGAAATTACATTTCCCCACATATATGCATAATTAAATTAATTAAATGTAAACCACAAATTGAGTTAAATGTGCAAAAATGTCCGCAGGACCATCGTCTGCAGGTGGAAACGAAGCGGTATTCAAGTGAAATATGTTCCAGCAAGGGTTGATTTTAAAGTTTGAGGGAAATGAAGAAGAACATTGTAACCAGGATTTAAAGTTAAACCTGAAACCACTTTTAGGAAATTTAAATTTTCAATATTATAACGAATTACCATGCTCCTATAATATTATAACTATTTTTGAAATCTTTATGTTTAACCCTCTCTGAAACACACATATTTTTTTAACCATATGCGGCTAGCGCAGATTCTGAATGGCCAGCCAACTATTTGGGAACGGGGATTTATGGCGCATTGCCCCGTGAAAGGACTGTGCCTGCCAGGTTCGGATGGATGGATGGATGGCTTCTGCTTGGATTTGCTGTGGCTGCCACTGTTTGTTGCATGCAGGGTGTAGTAATTAAATTTAAAATATGTACGCATTTGCCGGACATCTGAGCTTAAAAACAGGTGCAAGGCTTGAGGGCCGCCAGTGGAGTGGGCCCGGGATAATTTGATCAAAGGCAACCATAAGCCGGTAGCTGGTGAGTTGAGAGCCGGTAGTCTGAGCCGACTGGTTATTACAGGCCGTAAATGCAGCCTTATGGACATATCCACAACAGGAGACAGGACAGAGGCGCACTTTGGGCATATTTCTCCGGGGTCATGCACAATACCTTAAGGAGATTTTCTGGCTATAGCTCTTAAACACATTTAAATTAATTTATTACATTTTATATCACCAAGTTCCCAATTAGATTCTGGCGGGGTTTGGGTATTTAATATTTTGTGCGGTTGGTCCCCATTGGTGCCTGTCACTGTTTTGCGAATGCGGTTCCAGTGCATTAAATGTCAGAGATGTTTCCGTGTTTTTAAACAGGATAACATACTAGTTATATGCCTTATGATAAGTTGATACAACAGCCTTAAAGAAACTCATTTAATAACAAATATAATGCAGTAGTTGTGCGACTTAAATGTTTCCTTTTGAAAATATATTTTATACTTACAAAAATATATTAATCTTCGTGTCACGATTCCATCTCTGAAACGGTCGCACACAGCTCAATCACTTTGCCATTTTAAGTGCTTGGATATTTTGCGGTTATTCATTCGCTTTATGCGAATTTTGTTGAATGTAATTTGATTTAAACTGAATTTTGTCCGATATATAAAAATCAGTGCCGTGTCCAGGCCACAGGATATGCATGTATTTATGGGAGAGAATGCATGTGGCTATTTAATTAAGTGGCTACCTTTAAAGCCAGCCACCAAAATTGAATTAATTCTGATTATTGTTGCAGTTCAGTTGCGTTTGGCCCTCGTTCGGGGTTTTTGGCGACTGCTGCAATCAACAGTTGACATAAAAAAGGACTCGCACTAAACTGTCGGCTAAATAACATCCCAGCGAGGACAGCTGGAGCAGCAACATCAAGTGGGTGGAGACACACTCCGGCGACCTTTAACCCGAGCCTGGCAATCGCCTGGTGGGGGCTGCAGGCTGGCAGGAGTGTGAGGATGCTCCGCCGAATGCGTGGGAATTGCAAAACATGACGCAATTTGTGCTCGCTTTTGTTGCTTGTCCCTTTTGCATGCCACTCTCCTAGGATATTACCAACTGCTCGTGTTCTCCTACACACGCAAAGCGTCATATATTAGGATGTTGGAGGGGGGATACTGCTGCCATTAAACAGAGATATGGCTAAGAACTCCAAGAAAATGGCCACAGCTATAAGCTTCTGAGAAAGGTTACATGAAAAGAAAATCCCGAAAATATAAATTGATATCTCTTCTACAAAGTGTTTAAATTTCAACACCATTTCAAGTTAATAATAGAAAAATTAACTTAAATTATTTTAAACCTAATTTTAATTTATTAAAATTGCAAAATGGTTCTTATATTGAGTAAGTATTTCCAAGAGTCATGCTCATGTGTCGCGTATGATACATTCATATATTTATCATCGAAAATGTTATTTCATTCATAACTTTCACCTGATCACCTGCCACATCGTAAAAGCTTACGACTCACACAATCATAGCACAAGTTTTTCCACCTCCATTTGATGTTGCAATCTTGGACAAATTTATTTATTTAGCACATTGTTTTTCGCATCGCTCCTTTGGGCATCAGTTGCGCCCGCACCAAAAATAAAAAAGAAAACGCGGAAAACTCTGGCACACAAGAAGCCAACATCAAGGACAATAACAATAACAACTCGTGGCAGACAACAAAGGATAGGGGAATAGGGGTTAGAACAAAAAGGACAAGGACAGGGGCGAACCCTCGAAAGTATTTTGATTTGTGAAATGCTCGTAAGTATTGTCGTTTTTGGCGCTGGCGCTGGTAGCAATTTCTTAAATTTTTTATAGCGCATAACCTGTCTGGCACACATGTGCCACCTCCTCCCCTGAAATCGCAGCCCGCTTTCGCAGGACCACCCACAAAACGCAGTTCGCAGGACGAAGACGTTGGGCGCTTGTTGGCAACGCTTATTGCATTATCCTCGGCTAGAGTCAGTCAGTTCGGGATATATGTACATGTACATGTATAGGTGTGGGAAGATATATCCGCGCCAACTGCCGCAGCTGATGCCACTTTTGGCTCGTGGCAGCCGCGAGCTGTTTGCCTGTTTGTTGTTATCCTGGTTATGGCCAAAGCCAAGGCAAACTCCCAGGCAGTGGGCACCAAGCTGCGATTTCTACCAAGGATTCCCAACGAATACTTGGTACACTCCATGGGGAGATCTCGCAGACTAATGGCCTTTAGGGTTTTATAAAGGAAAGATCCTTTAATAATCTTGGCAAAGAAAAATTTTAAAAACACTTTAAGGAGTTCTTTTTTAAATGCGTTGCACACTTAATTTGGCATAATTAAATTAAGTAATAATAAAAATTGTGGTCAAAAGTAAAATGTTCCTTTTTATTTTGATTCCTAAGCTTCCTACAAGAACTCTCAGTTATGTCATATTCCCATCGAAAAAATAAAGGAATTATGAAAATTGGCACGGCTACAGCTGGGCTCCTTGCAATCCCCGTCTCATAGACACCTCATACCCCAAGCTCCACCAATCCCCGCTCTAATGCCTGCCGAGAAATGTTAATACCGAAAAAAGCGAACCATTTGCCGCAATGAAAATCGCGTAAATTTCATACTGATTGTAAGTGTCGCCGTTTTCTTGACGTTGCCATGAAGGCAAAAGCTAGACGGACAATGCACTGGAAAAAAATCAAAGGTTTTATTAACTCAAGCAATTTTTGAACTCTATTTTTATGGTATCCAAAATATAATGAATAATAAAACGTACACAATGTATGTATATTGAGATCATACATTTTTTAAATGCTCACATGGAAATACCCTATTTTTCTGTGCATTGAGGAGAAAATAGGAGATGCAGACGGAACTGCCATTGCCGTCTGTTTCCCCTCATCCTTCAGATTCCCGTTTTCCCCGTCTACCGCCTGGGCTCTGGTGTTGGCTGTCGCCTGCAGATTGTCAGCATTGTCACAATTGCAATTTTTAGGATGGCATGGGGACTCGCTGATTTGGTTGCCATTTCACTATTTGAGCGTTTCAAACATTTTGCGGGCATTTACCATAAAGAGGGAAGCGAATCGAAGTCGGAATCCGAGCCAAGAACGTCATTCGATTGCGTTAATAGCCGAGAGTGGCGACCAATGCCAGCTGCAGATCTTTGAAATTGCAAAAGTTTTCTTTAGCATTTTCTTCGGTTGCCTTTCTTTGTCGTTTTTATGTTTTATGAGTGTCGATGTGCTCTTTACATGTATAGTTGTCATTTCCTTTTTTTTTGTGAGAGAAGCTGACAATGTATTTAGCATAGTAGAATTAAACAAGGTAGTCCAGTCTGGTCCCAAATGTTCGAGTTTTAGGGCTTATTTTGACAGCTCGTGTTTATTCATTGAGATAAACTCAATGGGTTGAGTAGATTGTGTGCACAAATATTATTCCTGTCAATCTGAGTAAATAAAAAAATAAAATAAAATGTCTTACTGCAATTTTTTTCTTTAAGACAAGAATATATTTTAGAATTTAGAACTTAAACAAAAGACTAGCCATACATAAACAAAAACAACGCATTATGTCAAACACAAAATTATTAAAATTTAAGTTATAAAAAAGACAACTGGTTTAATGAAATGGAAAACGTTTAATTTGGGACCTTTATTTATAAAACTCCACTTCAGCAACAACTTTAAAGAGATTGAACAATTTAAGCCCCAATGTACAATCTTATAAACATAGTGTGTTTAACACACATACTATTGACATTTCACTCAAACTTTGAGACTATACCCGTCTCACGCATACTTTGATGAGTCGAACTAGGGCTTATTTTTTTCGACTGGACTACCTTGTATAATTCTACTATGGTATTTAGTAACTTGATTTTTACAATTGTTTATAGTTTATGGTAATGATTAGATTTTCATACCTTCAACTCTTCATCGAATATATTCACAGTAATAACGAACACCTGTTTTCAGTTGATAATATATGAAAAAAAATCGCGACGCCAATATTTTCAGTAATATTTTATCCAAACACTAAAGTAAATACATAAATATGTATGACAATTTATTATAAATTACCCATAAAAAGCTTCAAAAAAATAAAGGAAATTACCTTACAATTTCTATTTGCACATCCAATTGGGCTTCTATCTCTTCTTTTACGGTCAACATTTGGTTGGCTTCTGTCGAAACTATGATTAAAAAACAATTTTGCAAAAATATTGAATCACGTCGCGCTTTTTGGCAGCTACTCGCAGTCGAAGGAAACGAATTCGTGAAGACGGATGGCGCTTTTTGATGGCCGAAAATCAAGTTTGTTTTTACGTGCCATGTAGTTGGCCCTCGAACGTGGCCGACTTGGGCCTGGGGGATGTCAAAGGTCGCAGCTGCTGCAAATGGCTGGTGCTTTGGCGAAATGAGCGGCCCCCGACCAAAACTCACTTTTGGCTATGAGAAATCGCTCGTCATCATCGACGCCTGCGAAAATCCGACGGCGGCTCAGACACCCACCCACCGACAGGCGAAGGCGCCATAAATTATGCTCCTTCCCATACGTATATGTAGATACATATATAGATGTGTATATAGACATCTGGAGCTGTGAAAAATCGTGCCCCAAAAACTTTGACCCAACCCCAGGAACACGAACAGAACTCGCAACTTATTGAAAATCACTTAGACACACATGTGACGCTCTCTAGTTCGTGAGCATGAAAATGAAGCTCGAACCGAAGGAATTTTCGGGGCTATAATTTATGTCTTAGAATTTCGCAGGATATAGAGGGTGGGGGTTGAGCCACCAAAAGGAGCACCTCCTCATACACACATATGTAGTAGGTAAGGTAAACAATTTTGGCTAACAAAGCGGTGACCAAACGCTGCCTCAAAAATGCACTTGATAAAGGCCGAGATGTCCGGCCAAGGGATTGGGAAATAAGCCCCAGTTGAGTCTAAAACTGGACAGGAACAGAGTCGGTGGCTTCAAAGGCTACTTAATAGACATGACCACCGGCTAAGACCGCCAGCATGTGACGACAAACTCATAATTTATGGCCACATCCCGGCCAGACGCCGAATGCTATCTCTTCCTGATCCACCACTCCGGCTCTACTTCGGCCACTAGGATGTGTCCGGACGGCATCTCAGTTTCGGTCTGCATTTTGGGCCTGTCAGTGTCGTCTGTAATTGTTTTCCTAATGGTGGGTAGCCGGAGCTAGAGCTGAACCCCAAAAACATGACCGCACTTAAGTTGTCAGCCCAGTTATGGGCGTGGACGAATTTATGGGGCTCGGGGCAAACAAGATAATCGCCTTGGAAATGGACAGAGTCCCCTTAGTAGATTTAAATGGAGCTCTTGGTCCTTGCACTATCAATTGCGAAATGCAACCTTGAAGTTCAAGTGCAGGAATCAAGGAATTTTTAAATGAAGAAAATATAGAAAAGCAATTATTACTTAACCATTTACTGGGACACATCCAAGTGGCCAGATTTTTTTGAATCTGTTCCCATCCATTCCAGATTTCCGTTTCCTGTAAGCCTACAAAATAATCAAATCAATTGGCAGACAGGAAAAGTGCGGACACTTGGCCCAGCCAACTGCGACTAATGCGTCGCCATCAGATATGCAAACAATCGTCGAGCCAGACGAATAATTGAGAGTCCAAAGTTTATTAACCGGACTATGCACTTGAGGGAACTCCAGATCTCCTTAATTTTTCTCGGCTAATCTCGTCGTCAACGGAAAACCCAGAGTGTGACTCTTTCAAAGTAGAGCTGGGAAAGTATTGATAGTGGCACCTTTCGATGTTTTCAGAGCGAAATGTCGACACGACCGATAGAAGCGTTTCTATTAGGAATTCTAAGAAAAATGAAATTCCTGGAATAGCGAAATATGTCGCTATGCTTTTTCTCCTGAAGTTTTCGTGCAAACAATATAGACACTCCAGAAGTATTGATCCAATTATAGTCTTTTGCCTTTATTATTTCTTTATTAGCACTGAACTTGGTTCTTTTTAAACTTCTAGATTTACAAAACACGACCACTCCGTTTTGTTGGTAGAAAGAAGAGAGCGGAAACGAGCGAAACGCTAATAATAGTGTTATATAATACGAATATATTGTTTTGCTTAATATCGATGTTTATAACGATATTTATATCGATATCTTAACAGTTTCCACTACAATCCTTTAAATTAACAGCTTTAACTATAACTTTACCAACTTAAACTTCAAAGCAAACTAGCAGTGTGAAAAATTTGTGGACAAATAAAACATGCCGATTTGATCAAATGGAAAGGACGAATTCTGTGATTATGTGCATTGGTTGAAATTTGCAACAATGTGAAAAGATAATTAAGTGAATTGTATGGTGTAAGCCGTCCATTAATCACGTAAAGTTAAAAGTTATCGAAAGTTACCAACGCCAACTTAACACTATACTTCTCAATGCAAGTGTGCTTTAAAATTTATGTCACACTAGCAAGTGCAAAATTTTAATTGAAGTGGAAATTGGCGGAAGGCAGCCAAAAGTTAAAAAAAAAAACTAGACATGTTTCTGGATGCTTTTGGAAACCCAAAGGAGGTGACACCCGACAATCTTCACGAATATTCATATGATCTGGTGAGAAATCCTTGCACTTGAAATTTGTATATGAATTTCAAATACATTTGTACATCAATGAAATGTAATTTATGTAGCATGAGACTATGCTGCTGACATCGGCTGACCACGAGGTTTACATTCCGCCCAAATGGCACGGCACCATTTACAGCACTGAAGAGCTGCTGCAAAATTACAAAAAGCGATATAATGTGAGTAGAAATTAAGTTTGGTAGAATGTCATTATAATTCTGATGTTTTGCTAGCCGGATCCCACCCTGCTGACCTTCCACGCCCTTCAACCGTATGAACCGGAGTTCATTTGCTGCGAGAATGTCGTCGTGGAGCTGACAGCTTTGCCGGCTGGGCAGAGCCTCTTTAGCGAAATGGAGATAGTGGTTTTCCTGGTCAAGCTGACGGCAAGTGGGTCTAACATGCTGATCACAAAGGAGCTGGGCAGCGACTTGAACTTCTTTCCGCACAACCATCACTACCATGCCCGGATCTTGAACGAGGGCATAGATGTGGTCTACGTGGACGATAAGATCTATTCTGGTGCTGGTGGCTCGCCCGCCAACTATCAGCACCAGCGTCTGTTCAGTTTGCTGAGCAACATCCAGCCCGGCATGGTGAAGAGTCTTTCGGGTGGTCCCCTGCCCGAGGTCCTCCGCATGGCTTGCAGGAAACCCGTCACCGTTGAGAAAAACTAAAAAGATCTGGAGTTCCCCCAAGTGCATAGTCCGGTTAATAAACTTTGCGACTCTCGGATGTTCGTCTAGCTCGACGATTGTTTGCATATCTGATGGCGGCACATTAGTCGCAGTTGGCTGGGCCAAGTGTCCGCACTTTTCCTGTCTGCCAATTGATTTGATTATTTTGTAGGCTTACAGGAAACGGAAAACTCGAAGAAGGTTCGACTGTTACTAATAATCTGGACAACGAAAAAAACATAACTCCCTAAATCCTCTCAAGAGAAGGGAACCTCGTCTCCTTTCCACAACCCAATATCGAGTAAATATGTATATTTGTGGACTATGCAAAGCAGTCTTTGGCATAAACTTTTAAGTTACCCCATCGGATGGTAAGCCGAGAGGACCCTGCCCCGGTCCAGTTCACATTAGTATTCATAACCAAATGTCATATATAATATTTTTGGGTGTACCAATGGCCAAATCCCCTTGGGCAACGCACTGCGTGACATCTTTGTTTGTGGTCTGACCTCCTGTGCGGCCAAAAAATAATCTCCTTCCTTTCTTGATCCCTTCCTCTTCGAATACGGCCTTCAGCTATTTGATGGCTTTGCAATCGCTCCACTCTTTTGTTTTGTGCTCGGAATATCTAATGGATGCGTGCAACTAATTGAGTTGCCAGCAAAGGGATTTGGCTCTGCTCCTTGAATTGCAAATCCTTTTGCCAGGGATAAATGGTTTTGGTTGCCCTTGTTCCCCAGGACTTAATGAATCGGATCTTGAGGATTTTGTAAAATTCAAAAAACAAATTTCAAGCAAGCAAGCCAGGCGATGTGTGCATACCCGAGGCTTAGATGTGGTCTTAATATGTACAATTTTATTTGTTTATAATATTATGGAAGAAATATTTCTTTAAGTGAAGTAATTAAGTATCACAATAAATGTTTTGTTGGAATATTATTAATAAACATTCTAAGCCATTTCATAGTTGCTTTCTCATGTGATTATACCTTCTTTTGTGGATTTTGTTATTCAGTTTTAATCTTAAATAACTTTACTATGAAAAGTGGTAAATAGTAATGCACATTATTTGCTTGTTGTTGTTTAATAAATGCCAACATTTTATAGAATATTTTGCCAATTCAATCTCATCTGCACTGCTTTCCAACCCCGAGCAACATGTTACCTGCACCTGTTCAATAATTGATGTAAATCTGTCAGCACTGAGAAGTGTCACACTCGTTTTAACCAGTCCGGACTGCTGGTGCTGAGTGCCTTGTTGATCCCTTTTATTCCTGTTCCTGTTGTTGTTTCAAACCGGCAACTTGTTCACAACTTTTGATGGCACTTGCAAAAAAGGAAACAAAACTCCATGGAAACTCCGCAGATGTTGGGTGAAAGGCAGATGAGGAGGGGGACTCACCTGGTAACCCAGGACTACGAAATGCAGAGGCCTATGGGCAGACTTAAACTTATGTATAAGCTCTTGGGAATGATAAATAGCCGGGCTCAAGTGGCCGCCCAGGCACAAAGCGACCTGCAGGCCAAAAGAGCTTCTCACCTTTTGGCACAAGACGGAGGGAATCCTGGAGAAAAGCAAGCCCGGAAAGGCGGCAGGGATAAGCCCGAAACCGTAATGAAAATGAGATGAAAATTATTGCAACGTAAATCAGGCGCCCAGCTGGGAATATCCCCCAGTGTCTGGCTTCTGGTTATCCAGCATCGCCAACTCCCCACATTATCCCCCGTTTTCCACTGCTTAATTTGGCTTTCATTGCTTTGGTTCGTTTCTTCCCATTTTTTCCCTCCATTTTCCGATTTGCGAGCGGCCTGACATGAATTATTTAACGATCTCCAGCTGTGTTGATGCGATTTTCGCCGAGGATGCCTCTAAATTAAAGCCCTAACCAGCTTAATGCAATGACAACCGCAAAGGGGAAGAGCGAATATAGGAGCGCAAAAAAAGAATCCTTCATTTAATACAACAATGTGTGGGTCAGAACAATAAGCGATTCCCCCTCAGGAGTCCCTTTCACTTCTCGGTCTGCCAGGACTTAACTCTTTGTGCCGACGTCGACTTTCCAATTTCTAGTGAAAAATCCCGCGAATGAACCTGTAAACAACACACTAGGTGGACCTATGAAAGCCTGCACAGGAGGGACTACGGCAGCCAAGAGAGAGACAGACAGGAAAAACAAAGGGAAAACCCAAAAATGCAAAGAAAAATCGACTAAGAATGATGGCGGTTAGGGAGAGTATACCCTCGAATAAATGATGACCTGGAATCATGTCAAAAAAAAAACATTGTAGATTTAAGTATTACAAAAGCTTATTGGTTTTTAATAAAGCTAAACATTTCAATGAGGAAATGAAAAGCTTAAAATTGTAGATTTTCAAGAAAGTTACCGTATACATATATAAATCTTAAGTTATTTAAATTTAGGTTCACAATAATATATATTTAATAATGAAATATACTGTAATCTATATATTTTTAATACATTTATACATTCTTTGCAATGGAAATTGTTCTGTTCTAATATTCCCCTCAATTCCGAATAACAAACTTTCCCTGATGGAATTCTCACTCGGCCAAAAACCAAATGAAATCTTCTCTGCGGGAGGTCGAGGAAAGCTAGTATCTGTATCTGCGGATGCAAACTGCAATGGCCCCAATGTATCTATATCCGCAGTGCCAATGTGTCTGCGAGGCCATGTGAGTGTGTGTCCGAAACAGTTTGCAACAAACTCGTGTGCATTGCCGGGCGAAAAATCCTAAAACCAAATAAAATCCGCTCCGCAGTTGAACCCACTTGAAATATATATATTTTTGGCAATGAAAATAACCCCCACAACGCAGGAGAAATGGAATAAAAAAGTTGTTATAATAAATGGAATGAAGAGCCAAAGCGTGTTGGGCGGCGAGGGAATGTTGCAACAGCGGCAGTGGCAGCAGCACCAACAAAGTGCAGTCAGAGCATCCTAGCAGATAATCCCTGGGAAATTTGTCTAACTTTCCTATTTCCCCCGAGCCCGCTTCGAGTTTCCCCACACCCGCTAAGGCTGATGAATGACGCCGCTGCTGTGCAAATTATAAGAGCAATTTGCATTATGTGGGTGGCGCTCGTCTTTAGCGCCCTGATCCCCCAAATTTCCATCGCCCTTTTCCGCTGCGGATTAAGCATCGCACATTGTTACCAGCTGCGTGGCGAATGAAATTTTAGATTGCCGAGTTAGTTATGGCGGTTAAGTGGGGCACAATATATTAGGAGGCCACTCGGCTAATGATGGCAGCTTTAAAACCTTACAAAATTTATGATAAAAAATAAGCTAATGTACCTACTTTATGATTAATATTTTGCTTTGCAATTTCAATTCAAACCTTTTTTTTCGAATCCATTGAAATGCTTCTGCTTTGATCTCTGCTCATAAATGTAAGCGCAAAGTTCGACCTAAAACAATTCTCCCCCATTGAGCAGTTCCGCTGACATCATCGCTTTTCCAACTTGTTTCCCCCATAAAAATATCCTCACATCCCGGCAATCATCTAATTGAAATCGAGATGAGATCAACCGTACTAACTCTCACACCGAGCCCACTACGAAAACCATTCAATAGTAGACTTGGAACGAAATCCGCTTCCACCCCCGTGATGGAATAATTGCAAATACATAAATAAGTTGATGGTGGATCGGGCTTTAAAGCGTAATAAATTTTGAATGCGCCATTAGCATGATTTATGCCCATTTAATTTTTCATAACAATGAAAAAAGCACAACGGCAACACACAGGACACACGGGATGACAAACAGGACAGGCCGGCATTAGCAGGACAATAGAGCAGGAAGTTCGAGCGAGGGGAACTCTCATCATAAACAAGAGTGCATAAAAAATGCTGCGAACGAGGCGACAAGCGGCAACATAATTGAATAGTAAAAGCGTTGCACTGAAATTAACCACCACAAAATGACGCAAATAATGTTAAAAGGTTGGGTGGAGTGGGCAGGAGGTTGGCATGGTCACTGCCATGTACGGACGATTAAGTTTCATTGAAATTGAATTACATTAAAAAAGAGGAAATGGCAAAGGCGAGAAGGAAAGTGCAAAAGGCAAACGTTTCATTCAGCGGGTCCTGCCAGGACAATAGTGCACAAATTAACTTACAAAAGCTAAATAAAAATTGCCAACGCGGCAGCCAACGTGTGGACGTTCTGACTGGACGCATTTCCCTTTTATCCTTGCAGCCTGCCATCTGCCTTAATTTCAGTCCTGCCTCGCCCTCTGTAGTTTACGGCTTTGGGCTTGTTTATGCCAAGTTCTTATCGCGCTTATTGTCATCCAACCAACCAGACCGGGCCACCCCGAGCAAACAAAATAAGCAGCCCGAAAACGAGTTGCTTATAAAGTAATTTGCGGATTTATTAAAAGTTTTCAGCGCCTCCAGACGCACTCTTTGTCTGACTGGAAAAGGCTGTTTTCCCTTAGCCACTGCCATCATCTCCTTGGCTCCCAGCGACTGCGGCCAATTAGTTTGCCTAATTCCTGAGGTGAAACGCAAAACGCTTTAATTGAATTCTGCGGTTCACGGCGGGAAACCCCACTTGAGAGGTATTTAATCAGTTGAAAAAGTTTTAGCAACTAAATGGAACCTCTTAGATGGCATTTTTTAAAGTATTGATATAAGAGTCCAATGTATTTTCATCTCCTTAACTTTATTATCTTCCCTACTTCAAAATCCAAAACTCGTTAGACCTACATTTTTCCTCTTTCAACTTTAGTCTATGATTTAAATATTATCCCAGCAGATGTTTCATTTTTCCCCGGGTGGGTTAACGGCACTTCCTTTGTCTAAGTTTTCTTCGCACAAATAAATCAAAAAGGAACTCATCACCACACGACAAAATAGCAGCAGCCACATAAATCTACTTGACGCAGCAAGACCCCAACTTCGTACAGACCCCCCTGGCAGTGGGTGAGATTTATGAAACAGTCAAGTATTTTCTATTTAAGTTAATAACAATCATAATAATGGCAACGGCAAAATTGATGCAGCCCAAGCTGTGAGGGCGCAGGAAACGTTGCAGGGGGAAGTACGGGAGTGGAGCACACACACAACCTGATGATAGATGATAGATGATGTGCATATAAGCGCAAATAAACACAAGATTCGCTCTTGTCTACGAAAATAAGTTCCATTTTTCCTGCGGGGAGTCCTTGAAGCGGGGCCAGGAACCTTCTTGGCAGAGCGAACGTAATAAGCCATAAGGTGTCCTGCATGTCGGCGTCTGCTTGGGGTAAAAGTCTTTGCATATTTGAGCAGCTTGTTGTTTCATTGTACTTTGTGCATTTCTGTGACATTCGCTTAAAAATTCCATTACACTAAGCTCGAATTACAAACATCAGCATTGGATACGAAGCTGTTAGCAAGGAAAATGTCTTAAAAAGGAGGAGGCTCGATACCCTGCATTCATAAAACTGGCTTGTATATTTCTTGTTTACTTGTTTGAAACCCAATTATTGATGTATTTATATTCATAACAAATATATTACTTTGACAGTCTTATAGAACTCTGACCTAAACCCCAGCACCCCCTTCAAAGGGTATCGCAAATCTCATTTCAGGCAGCGTTGAACACACAAAATATGAAATATATCAGACTGGCAGTGGAAAATATTTGGCTTTTAGGGAGAGTCCTGGCCTGGGCTTTCTCCTTTCACCCAGAAATATCATTTCACTTTTCATTAGGCTGCAGAGAGCACTCGAGCAGCTGTCGGGCTTGTGATTTTCAGTAGCCTGCGGCTGCACTTACCCAACACCTTGAGATATTCTCAAATTCGGCGAAAACTTTGCACAAAATACGTTCTAATGCCGTTCCAGGAACTTTGTAATCAAATTAAATTTGTGTATTTAGCAACAAGTTAAACAACAAATTTCCATAGTTCCCCAGGCAGCAGCCAGAACTACGACGAGGGTCAAATAAAAATGCCCGCCGGCAGTCAAATATCTTTGATTTTTCTCTGAACTCTGGCAAAAGTACGGCACTGATGGATTGTGGTTAGCCCCCAGGAAATGGCCCAACCAATCCTCCCCCTCAGACTCATTAAATTTTTAATCATCCTGTTGTTTGTAGCCTAACCATAACTGTCAATAGCAATTAGTGGAGGGGCCAAAATGAATGTGTCTCCGCAGCACTTGGGTTAAGTGTATGGTTCTCGTCTCGTGGATGCCGGGTCAGGATTTTGAGGTCAAGAGAAGTCAATTATGCCGGAGGCGTGACTGTGCGTACATCAATTTAATTATAACTTCTAAGCTGCCTTTTTGCCAGCGCTCTATATATCTGAGGTATATCTAAAGATATATTGTTTCTATTCAGTTTAAATTTCACTTTATAGATATATAGTTATACCACATTTCTTCAACTGTTAGTGACTAGCCTAAGATCTTGCAAATATCCTTAAACAAGACAATGCCAATTTCAACGCTTAATTAGGCAAAGACTGCAGTAAGTTCCACGCCTTGTTGAAATAAGCTGGGAAGCCTTTAAGCGGCTCCCAGACAGACAATGGCCAAAACAAGAAAACTATTTATGTCTGTCCAGGTATTCGCCATTCAGGGGTAATTTCCCTAATGCGATTTGGGCCCAGAACGAAACGAAACTCGCCCCAGCTCGAGTCTCCGCACAGATGGTCATAATTAACACACGTTGTCAGTCGTCAGTCTGGCAGGAGGAAAAGCAGAGGAGCTGGAAAGATGAGTGCCAGACAGACGGCAAACCAAACCGAAAACCCAAACGAAAGTTTCCCAGTGCCGCCAGATGATAGTGGGGAGAAGTTTTCTGGGAAGCAAAATACACACATGACAATAATAATTATTGTCTTGATTATGCTCCCGTGCATGTTTTACTTGGCCAAGTTTGCCATTTAGCCAAATTGCCAGACATTTGTCTTCCTCTCGGCTTGGTCTGGTTATCCTGCTTATATCCCATTTATCTCTGGCATTTTTATGCTCCATCTTCACCTTGAGCGGCGCCTGGAGCTCCTCGCTTAAGAGCTTTTCATTTAGCTTAATTAACTTATAACAATTTTTATGCTGGTTTATCGTCTTAATTAATAACCGCCAGGCATAAATCGTGAGAGGGATTACACTTTAAGTGTATTTTGTGACAGTTTTGTTGATGATTTGGTGAGGTTCTTTAAACCTTAAACTTGCTTGGAATATTATAATGATGTTTTATGCAATGAAACAATATTTCCTTTGATTTAATTTTCTGTTTATAAGATTCTGAAAATATATGACCAATTTCTTACAGAGCTTGTACGATTCGCATTTAATTTTCTTCAAGTGTTCGCTTTGATTTATAGTGAGCTAATCAAAGGACTCAATCAGGCCAAAAGAAATGCGTCTCGAATACAACTAATTTATTTAAAATGCTCATTCATGTCATGCCGAATTCTTGGCCATTCATCAAAAGTCAAACGCAAGGGAAGGACACGGGTCAGTCGACGCGTCGCGTCCTTTGTGCTGGTTCGACTTGACCTGACCCCAGACCCACCGCCATCTTATCCGTCTTCGTCTGCCCTCCGAAGCTCCGCAATTAATATTGAAAAGCTCAAGAACTCCGGCACCGGCATCAACATAAGGATCGGGATAAGGGTAACGAATGGTTGAATGAATGGCCGTCCAAATCAAGATGATGATGGAGCTGGTGAAAGCGAGCGTGTGACAAATGTCCTGCTGCCAGTTCTGAAAAGATTTTCTTGAATTCTGACAAAACATTTTGGACGTTGGTACGGTGGGTGTGGGTAATTAATTGAACTCCTAGCAGATAGTTACTGCCCGAAGGCTTCTTTGAAGTCAAATGAAGTTTTGGGACAATGACGAGGGTCGAAAAAAATGTTTCCTCACCATTTTAGTTCTGTTAACTATAAATTGAGTTAGCACAAACTGTTGTTAGTTCTATTAAAACAAAGTAGGAATGATGCTGCACTCAAAACAATAAAAGTTCAAAAATGTAAGCCTGATAATGACAGTCATAATCGATATATGAGATCATAGACTCAGCTGATACAACTACTCAGCTTCGGCGAGGACAACAACAGCTGCCACATCCTGGCCATCGCCATCGAGAAGAACGAAAGCGAGGCGGCAGTTCTGGTTCCCCAACAGATTCAGACATCAGTGAAGCCGACATGGACACCGCGAGTACATCAAAGTCTTCGAAGTCGTCGAAGGGGTTAAAGTCTTCGAAGTCTTCCTTAAAGCGCTCGTCGCTTTCTTGCAGTGACAACGACAGCAAAGCCAAAAAATTTATGAAAGGGGTTACCTGCTCGTCCAGTCCCAAGGATGTCACCCGGAGCGGTCGTGTGGTACGAAGGCGCCTGGAAAAACAGTTTGACTACTTATCCTCGCAGTCGGAGGACTCTTTGAGTTTATCATCGCTGGACAGTGACGATGAGTTCCAGTTGAACTCCTGCAACAAGGAGCCGAATTGGTCAAGTCGCAAGCGACGCCGCTCCACTCACAGAAGCAGCGGCAAGCTGATCACTAAACTTATCTACCTAGATATGGAGCCACCATTGGCAACTATTATGCATGAACCATTCGCCGATTTAGACCTGAACAATGATGCCGATCTTAAGACCCGGATTCACAAGTTCCTGGGCCTGATACCACCTCGGCGCAAGTTGTACAATCTTGAGGATCAAGATTACCTGGAGCCAGATGGGCGCAAGGACAAGACGCAGGACGATACGATGACGCTCGTCAATGCTTTTACAATGGAGACCGACACACCAGACTACATCAAGGCCCCGATCGATCTGACTCACCTGCCCAGCGAGAAGTGGCGGGCAAACAACTGTCGCCGGCACAAGGGCTGCCTCAGCTGCCTGGAGGAGCATCCGCTCTCCTACAGCTTCCTAGATTCGTTTAACCCCGCATCTTCTATCAAACTGTGCCATCCTCAGGCGCTGGAATATCGCAAGAGCGACTTCAAGAGCTGCAAGCGGGAGCTGGCTAAGCTCCTGTTCAACGTTTTCAATCATGCCGTCTTCCACTGCGCCCTGCAGCCGGACATAGTTTGGAAGCGCAGTTTGAAAAAGCCCTGTTCTTGCGAAATGTCCATTGATTCGACCGGTCGGCGCTCGGCCCGCCTGCTTTTGTGGGAGAATATCAAGCATCCGGGCAATCTGATCAAACCCCTTCTCCACGAAATGTGCCATGCCGCAGCCTTTGTCTTAAACCGTGAGACGGGTCATGGCAAGGCTTGTCGCCAGTGGGCCTACAAGGCCTATCAACAGCTGATGGAGCTGCCGCTAATAGAGGTTTGCAGTGCCCGGTTCAAGTACCTGTGCTCCATGTGCGGTCGCAGGTCCTACGGCCTCATGGACTTTGCTGGGGCCAAGGAGATGCTGCGCTGTCACTACTGCCAGTTCGAGGTGGTAGTGGAGCCGTGGAGCGTACACGACGGCATCCATAAGGTCACGACAATGACGGAGTTCAAGACTTTTGTTTTGGGTAAATACCAGCAGTTGGAGAAGCAGGAAGGGAGCAGCTCGCATAGCTCCAAGATGGGATGCTTGAACCAACAGTATCTGGAGACGAAACTAAAGGCGGCCTGTGATTAATCCAAAGTCCAATACCTTTCTATTCATATTTTCTTTCTTTGTTTTAGTTTTTCTTTTAAGTGTTGCATATTTATAAATTTGTTCTGTTGCTTAATGTAGTTATATTCAATAGCTAAATATTAACATCAATTCTTAGGTTAAACACAAGTTGGTTGATATTTTATATAAAACTGAACTCAAACTTCTTTAAAACAATTGTAAAAGCTGTCCATTATAGTTTCTTTCAAGCTGGCAAATTCCCTCGTCTTCAAGGCAAAATATCCCCCAAGCTAATTGAACTTTTCAGCCGAGTTTAATAAGCGTTGAGCTGTGAAAATTTGTCAGTCAGTCAGTCGGTCCGCAGCGGCTTAGCCATTATGTGGGCGTGGCGTGACTGGGCAATTATTTTGGGCCCGATGCCAGGGTGCCATGCTTAATGAGCTATAAGTATCTGAAAACTGTCGAGGCATTTGCATGATGATGTGGCAATATCTCCGGCTTGTATATCGCATGTATATCTGGCTGCCACTAAGTATGCAACAAAGTTTTTGACAAACGACGCCGACTGTCGCGGGGGCGGCGCTGGCAATTAATTGCCCAACTTGATGAGACAGCACAGTGAGAGCGATCCATGAGTGGCCAACTGAGAAATGAGAACGCAGAATCATTCCCGTCATGGCCATCGCATTACGTCTCATTAATGTTTTGAATGCATCGCGGAAATCAGTCATTTCCACCCGCAAAACGAGAATGAGCACAATTTTTGTTGAACTCTGTAAACTTTCCAAGTGATTTTTCAGCTAACAAAAAAGCACCGATGACATCGCAGACTAGCCAAAAAAAAAAAAAAAAAAAAAAAACACAGAGCAAAAGTCAACCCTCACAAAAAAAAAAAGGAAGAGAGTGGGAAAAACAGGAGAGGAAAATGTTTTTCAATTGAATTGATTTTGAATGCGCTCCGTCTGACTTGTGTCTGTATTTGGTCCATTGAAAAGTGCGTACTTTACTACAACTGAACACAACCACCCACTACACTGAGGGAAAAATAAGGTTAAACTGAAATAGATTTGGAAAAAATTGGATTAAAATTGCAGTGAGCTATTAAAATTTAAAATGTAACATTAAGAAGAGATTTCTTATTTACAAAACATTTATTAAGAACTGAAAAATACCCCTTCAAAATTAAAAAAAATTGTATTAAAAATTTATTTCAAGTGCATCCTCCCTGGCTTTTGTCTGGTCTCGTGTCTGCCACGCCTACAGCAGCATCCTCCTCCCCTGGGGACAAAGTCCCACCCCTGACTCCACTCATCTGCTCAGCATCCAATGCATTGATTGACTTTTGCGTTGACATTTGCGCCGGGTTATCACTTCTTTGGGGGATTCCCCAGCTGGTGCCCCTCCCCAATTCGACATTGTGTCCCCCACAATAAACGCATTATGTTGCCATTAGTTGAGTGCCAGAAGAGCCTTCCGCTTGTTTGCCAGCTTCCGCTTTTGTCCTGCGTCTGTCGTGCGTTTGTTCGCTTGTTTATTTGTTTGTTTGTTTGCCTTTCCACCTAACAATAAAAAATTTCCACTCAATGGGGGCGGCTCGAAGGAAAAACTTGAAAAGTTTTCATGCCTCGGATTGTTAATTTAGTTAAACAGTTCTCAAGTTGAACATCGCGGTGCTGCACATTAAAGTTGATTGAATGGGGAATATCGTTTAGTTAAGCTTTAAAATTTAAAAAACCTTCCAAGGCAGTCATAAAGATATATAGGTTCTATATTTAATTTACGTAGACACACCTTCAAATATATTTAATGTACTGTAGAATTAATAGCCTTATAATAGGGTGCATAAAGTCAATAAGTTTGAAGTGCCATATGACTCTCTCGCAAGCTTAAAGTTAAACTAGAATAGAATATATATGTTATTCATCTAGTGGGTTCTGTCAAACTTTCCCACTTTTCATACTCCCTTGAGCTTAATTTAAGCCACTTCAATTATGTAAACGATCAAACATAAATGGCTTCACTGTCCATTAAAAGTTGCGATTAACATGTAAACAATCATGGGCAATTGCTGGCTGAGCAGGAGCCCTGCGAGTCCCCTTATGCGTATCCTTCCGCTGACAGCATAAAAATAACACATAATCATTTTATTAGCTCAAGGAGAACGGTGCAGTGAAGCATGGGAGTCGTTACGCCGGATGGTCCATCCTGTTGCTATATCGCCAGTTCGCCGGAATCAAGTCGACTGAAAGGAGCCCAGCCCTGCGTCGTCCTCGATGTCCTCGATGCTGTTGTTACAGTTGCTCCTGCTACTTGGGTTAACATGCTGCATTGGTGGCTCCGCTCCAATCATGGGCCATGTGTGTGCGTGGGCCGAGCAAGCCAGTGGAAGTTTTCTCGTTAGCGAAACTAATTATCCGTTGTCGCTGTCAGCAAATTTATCGTTAAACGCTAGGTGACAAGTTGAAGCCGAACGCATCTGTTACCCCAACAAAGCCCCATCTGTCTGCCAAAACCCCATGCGAGAGTTCTTTAAGAGGACATTGCCTGACTTGGCGATTTGCTTTGCTAAGAACACAAGATAAACAATGACTATGGCTATTGCCTCTTGAGCTATCAAATGATAATACATTTGGGCAAGAGACGAGGTCGCCTTGTTTCTCTCCTCAAATTTGTTACTTAATTCTTTGGTGTTCGATTTTAAATGAATCAAAAAGGATTTAAATTTTTAGTTAGTTTAATTTTCATTTAAATACCATTTTTACTTACTTTCTCCTTCTCCTCTAGATAATTAAATTATAATTTAACATTGCGATGGTTTCTTTTTCCCATTAAAAAACCGCAACTCACAAATGTTGTTCCGCTTTCCTTACTCACTCTCCAGCCGCCTCACTCTCCATTATTTTGTGCACCGGAAATGGTTGTCGATTTGCAACAAATGGCCTCCGGATGTTGCCACATGGCGCACGTGGAAGCTTGGAGCGGGAAAAAATTTGCGGGATTTTTGTAACTCTAACCCCTTGGGGCCATTAATTGCCTAGCACGTAATTATTTTGTAGTTAAAACGGGCGCGGTCTCCCCGTTTTAACCCTTCCTCTGCCGAAAAGCACACTCGGTTGCATGGAGGAGTCATGCATAATTTGGGTCTCGGAGTTTGCAGCTAATTAAAAGCGCGTCGCCCGTCTGAAATTAGTTGGGCGAAAGGGGTGAGCAGATGGGGGATGGGGTTGTAAATGGATTGGGGATGCGTGGCCGAGCATTCACAGGTGGCAACTTGTGACATTTCAATTAGCGGAGCCAGAGTAAAGGCGATACTGGAAATTGTATGTTTGCCGTTGTGTTTTCTTCGGATTTTCTCTTTAAAATATATAAATTTAGATTTTAAATTAATTAAAAAGGTTTTCTGCAAGACCACAAGCGATTTCAAATCACATAAAAAGATGCCTAAAAATATGCAACACTTTATGCCTGCAACTTTAATATTAATTTCGTGAGAAATATTCAACGATTATTAAAACCCCATCCCAAGAGATAAATTCAATTGCAATAAAACAGCAACAGATCAAATCAGTTTCCATCATTCCAGCTGTGGAATATTTACCGAAGAAAATCAACAAAAGCCAAACCGTAAATAGCAGTAAAAAAACAAAGCTTTCGCAAACGTTTTTGCTTGTTTTAATTTCATAATTATGGCATTTTTATTTTCGCTTTTGTAATTGCTACATTGTAAATACGTATTCAATATCAATAATTACAATTACGCATAGACACACATACGAAACGCACTTAATTACCATCATTTTGGGTGCGATAAACAACATGCTAAATGAACTTGTGTGTGCTGAACGTCCTTTCAGCCGAGATTTCGGCACAAATCGTTGGATATATCTATAAATAATTGTCTGCGTTTGAGTACAGTTCATTAGTGCGAACCAAAGAAGTCAACAAAATGCTTTTTGTTTTGCTTTCTGGCTCGAAATTGAAGGATTTTTTTTGTATATATGCCTTGGTGGTATTTTTTTTAATGCAGTTTCTATTACTATGCTGGTTATATAGGTCTATATGTATGTATGTATGTATAGGGTAGTTAAACAACAACTAATTAATGGGGTTGGGGGGTGAGGGGCTGCTATGATTATTACATTTTAAATTACTATATGCACAATTTATTCACTTGTCTGTAATTCTTTATGTTTATATATTATTTGTTATGTCTACTCATTTGTGTTCACATTTGCATAATTGGATTGAATAATTCATTTGATATTTATAGAGATATATATACGTATAATTACCTACAGCTAGGGCATTACAATATGTACACTTAGCGGATAAACATTCACGGGCATCTGTCCGTATGCTTAGCCTAATTACGAACCCCTTAAGTAGCTAACAAATGCGGCCCCATCGATCTATCTAAATCGGTTTACATATCCTAGAGCTAAAGCAGAGTTTTGGCTATCATCGTCTGCATACTTGGAGGAACTTATCATACGTTCGTTATAAACATTTACAGTGATCTGGCTACAGCTATCCTTAGTCTACGGTGTAACGAAAGCAGTTTCTTAGTCAGAGATTTAGCGCGAGATAGAGATAGATAGAGCAGGAGAGATGTCGAAGGGGGTAATATGTCTATCACTAGCATAGGGCCGAAGGCTCATAGATAAGTGAGCTCGGCTTTTCTTTAAATAGAAAAGAAATCTTGTAATACTAATCAAACTATAAGTAAACTCATGCAATCCTCGCACTCTGTCAGTCTCAGTCTTGGTCACAAATTCAACATGTGACAAATGCAGCAAAAGGAACGAGCGAACATGTGACTTCTTCCAAGAGTAAACTCCTTTCAAATTTTACATTTTATAAGAAATAAATATGCAGTATCCTCTTTTACTTAAATCAAGATTACTGATAATAATAATCAAAGTAATGGCCTCAATCGATAACCGAAAAGGGTAAAGTCGTTCACTGCTTCGCTCGTTCCAATGTCGCTCCTTACTCTTAACTCTCCAACCCTTTCCCAGCAAAAATCCTTTCCTTTCGCCTTTCCCATATCCTGTTTCCCTTTCTACTCAAAATTCTCCACTCCTCCGTTGTTGAAGCGTTCGCACCAAGCCAGCAACTCCCGCACCTCCCTGGCATAGAGCTGCTCCTGGGAGGGAGACTCCAGCTGGCTCTGCGATTGGGATCGGGACTTGGATTG